AACCCACGAAAGCATTGGTCCGCGCAACCATCTACGGAAGCTTACTGATGCTTACTGCCCCAGCCCAACCCCCCACCCCACCCTGAATGCAAGAGAACGCATCAACTGTCCACGCGTGCGATTGTTCACATTGCCCCCTAGTTCGGGAATAGAAGTTTCTGAATACAACGAAAATAGTTTCTGAATACGACGAAAATAGTTTCTGAATACGACGAAAATAGTTTCTGAATACGACGAAAATAGTTTCTGAATACGACGAAATAGTTTCTGAATACGACAAAATAGTTTCTGAATACGACGAAAAGAGTTTCTGAATACGACGAAATAGTTTCTGAATACAAGAGTTTCTGAATACAACGAAATAGTTTCTGAATACGACGAAAAGAGTTTCTGAATACGACGAAATAGTTTCTGAATACAAGAGTTTCTGAATACAACGAAATAGTTTCCGAATACAACGAAATAGTTTCTGAAGACTAGTTTCTGAATACAGTGCAGTTTCTGAATCCGACTTTGTTCGGTGATGTTGACCTTTGTTGTCCCATCTAAGGCCTATGTTGGGCAATCTTGGGCCCATATTGAACCTATCTAGGGCCTATGTTGGCTTATCTTGGACCCGTGCCTATGTTGGCCCATCTTGGGGCTATGTTGGCCCATCGTGGGGCTATGCTGGGCCTATGTTGGAGCTATGTTGAGGGTACTTTGCGCAATTTATGTTAACATACTCCTAAGATGCGACTTTTCTCCGTCCCGGACTCCCTCTCCGAGGCCAAAACCGCGTAAAACCGATGTTTTTTTAACGTCGCCAAGATGAAATCCATGGCGGCCGAAGGGCCCGAAACCCTGTAAAACACGATGTTTTTGAACACCACGCGCAGAATCGCGCAGAATACACTGTAAATTACAAGGGGGTCAGTCCCCACCGAAGGCCTCCGGCAAGGACACGGGCTCCGTGGGCCGGAGCCCGGATTCCGACCATTCCTCCCGACCCCCGTCCCCTGAATCGACCCTGCAGGGAAGCTGCCGTAAGGAAGCGACATGCATCACCCGGTTTTGCGCCTGCTTCAAGGTGGCAATGTCTTTGTCAGCACTGGCACCTTCGATTGCTGTGTTCACGAACCTGGGTGGTGCCAAACCGTGCCATTCCACACACCGCAAAATACAAAGCAACTCAGAAAACAAACTGGGACGACGTAGATATCATTGATCTCATCTTCACCCTCCAGTGACCCAACGTCAAGGGGCACGCCGGTAATGACATTGAGGATTGTGAAGAAGCCGATCACGATGTACAAGTTCATCAAAGTCACTCCTACGAATGAGACCTTCTTGAGTGGACGGTAGGCTTCATTCCAATCAATCCCACCTGCGATGGTCATGAAAAGTGAAGGCATAAAAACAAATCCAACGGTTAGTAACTGTTAGTAAGTATTAATTCTGTATACAGTATACACTATACACCTCTAAAAAATAAAATATCCCGGCAAGAGACCCCAAACAGTGTGTGTGTGTGAGGTCCGTAAGCGAAAGTCTAGAGATCTAGACTCTAGACGCATTGGGGTCCAGAGAGGTGATGGTGGTGATGAAGTGAAGGTGGGTGTGAGTGAGTGTGGGTGAGAGAAAGCGTGAGTGTGAGTGAGAGTGGGAGAGTGAGTGCGAGTGCGAGTGAGTGTGGGTGGAGGTTCACCAAGTGCTGCGCCTGCCACGAAATCTGCACTTCGAGGGTCAGCAACTGCTGCACCTGCCACGAGTCTGTACTTCGAGGTTCACCAAGTGCTGCACCTGCCACGAAATCTGCACATCTGCACCTGCCACGAAATCTGTGCTTCGAGGTTCACCAAGTGCTGCACCTGCCACGAAATCTGCACTTCG